TAAAGCAATAGGACCCCCACTGATCGTGCGGGGGTCATAATGAGGAAACTGTCTGAGATTTCTTCAGACGTCTGAGAGCAGAGGAAATTTTAAAAAATGTGCACGCTCTCTGTAGAGCTGAAGCGCTCGGAGTCTCTGGTCTGGACCTGTTCTTTGGGTCTGCAGCTCTGCTGAAGGCCCCCCCCCCCCCCCCAGCTGAAATCCTCTGTTTCCCGCCGCTCCCTCGGCTGTGGCAGAGCTCCCTCCTCCTCTCTGCTCAGCGGTCTCTGTGATGATGAGCGTGGAGGGAACCCACCGCTGTGTGGCTGAGCGACTCCAACGTAAACAGCGATGGAGTGCGCCGGGCGTTTATCTCTCCTTCTTCTCCCGGATCTTTGGTCACAGCTGGACGACTTGTTGTGGCTTCGCCCCCCCACTCCCCCGGTCTTTGTTTTTCCTCTGCGTCTCCTCCTCTCCTCGCCAGAGTTGAACGCGGGGCGGTGGTTATTAGCCGTCAGAGCTTGACGTTATTTRGCGTTCTCAGCACTTGTTTAATGGTTACTTAATGGAATTAATGGGCAGGAGGTAATGAGTGTGGGATGGAGGGATGGCTGCAGAGGAGAGATGTCATGGAACTAGATGGAAATAGATGGATTCCTTTCAGGAGGCAGGTGCAAAGATGCTTCACACAACAAACGCAGATTTTGTGTTTAGCAGCTCAGTGCTAAAATGTTAATGCAAACACAACTCCCTGTGGGTTTTTGTGTTGTTCAGTCAGAAAGCAGCAGCTCTGAGAACCAWCCAGCAACACGTTGTTGTGACTCTGTACACAGAAAAGCTTTTGGAATCGAGCGTCGACATCCTCGTTTCAGTATTCAAGATAACTCCCTATCTTTTTACATGCCAGGAAATTTGGTTTGAGAGAATATCGCACAAAGCGAGGAATCTTAATGTCRTCAGAGGGGGCGACGCTCCCTCTGAGTTATGAAAAATAAAATATCGATCGCGCTTCAGCGTCTCGCAGGAAGAAGGTCGGCGGAGCGGCAAGGGCAACAAAGACAAGAATATTGAGCAGGACGACGGGAAAAGGCAGCAAAACGTCTGAGAGACGCTCAGAACTGACCTACAGACAGAGACAAACATGGTGATGATTTCACAGGCTTTTATTTTGTAGGGTGTAAATGAGATGAAAAGATTTCTCATCGAAAACAACAAAAACCAAATGATGTTTCTGTTTGGTGAAATTCTCTTTGAGAATGTCCATTATAAAGAGAGTGTATGAATTCATTCGGGCACTGGGACTGGTACTGGGAATGCCTAAAAAGTCTAATTGGTTTGGGGAGGTGTGATTGTGTAATCGAACTCTCATGGGAACCCTGCTCCGCCTCGCCACAGGTCTCGGTTCGGTTGAAATGAACTCTGGTGCATATGTGAATACCAAGTGCTCCAAAAGCAGGAAGTGAACTTATAATA